GGGGGGGCACCCACACTCCTGTAAGTAACCCCTCACCAACTGCTCTATAAGCAAGCCCAAATAAACTGGCTTGTTTTTCTGTCGAACGCCCCCTGACATTTTTCAAACTGCAGTTTGGTGGAATCAAACTTTGCTTTGTCATAGGAACCCAAGGGAGAAAGGGACTGGATGCTGTTCACACCTCTCAGAAGGAATTTTGACAACAATCGCTTAAATCTATCTATCTATCTATCATCTATCTATCATCTATCTATGTATCATCTATCTATCTATCATTATCTATCTATCTATCTATCTATCTTCTATCATCTATATACCTATCTATCCATCCATCTATCTATCTATCTATCTATCTATCTATCTATCTATCTATCTTCTATCTATCCATCCACCCATCCGTCATCTATCATCTTAGATTGTTTGACAGGTATCCTATAGCCAAGATTGGCTTGGAAGTCAGTATGTGCCTGAGGGTGCTCTTGAGCTCCCGATCTATCAGTTCTGGAGTGTGGAATCACAGGCATGTCCCACCGGTGAGGCCACAGGTTTCACATCTTTTCTACTAGGTAGGATGATCCACTGATGGATTGATGCTCTGAATGGGCTGGCAGACTCATGGGCTGATGGGCTGGATGGGTTGCCTAGACACACGCTCGCTGCCCGTCACCAGAAGACCATCGAGTTGAGGTCTGCCAATGACCCAGCCCATCGCCTGGACGCTCCACGCTTGCCTGTGTGAGGAGCACGTGGTAGGGCGCCTCCACAATGTCATTTCCGGTTTCCGGGAACTGCCAGAGAACTGAGTGGCTGCTGCTGCACCTGGCAGTCTCTGGCAGTAGGGAGGAATGTGAGGGTAGTGGACTGCCCCGAGGCTCCAGGCAGCCTCCCACTTCCTCCCAGAGACTCCCGTCTGTCGGGGACCTGGCGTCCGGGTTCTCTGTGGGCCTGAGGAGAGCAGGGCGGGCCCCGATTAGCGGGCAGCAAGGCCAGGCCAGGCCGTGGCCTTCCGTGAGCAGCAAGGCCTGTAGCGGTCGCGCCCCTCTGGACAGTAGAACCGAGGCCACAGCCAGCTGCTCCAGTGTCCAGCGAGATGGCAGCTCCCAGCGCCTTGAAGTCACTTCAGGAAGAAGCTGTGTGCGCCATCTGCCTGGATTACTTCAAGGACCCGGTGTCCATCCGCTGTGGGCACAGCTTCTGCCGCGCTTGTGTGACCCAGCTGTGGAGCCAAGAAGGGGAGCAGGAGCGGCCGCCACCCCTTGCAAGACACTTCATCCTCGAGGTTTTGTACCGGAGGTTCGCCCGACGGGAGGACTTGCTTGGGTACCCTGCACCCCGGCTGCGCCAGGACCACAGAAGGCATTGGGGCAACGTGGACGCTGTGTGGGAGGAGGAGGAGGAGGAGGAAGAGCGGATCAGGTTCCTAGGAGGGCTGGCAAACGACCTCAGAATTCGAGTTATTCCAGAAGAGAGTCTGGAGGCACGCCACCACCATGACCACGACCACCACCAGGGCCACCACCACCACCATGGCCACCACCACCGCCTCCGCCACCACCACCACCACCACCACCAAGACCACGGCGCACGCCAGCAGCCGCATCCAGAGCCTCTCCTGCGTCCTCCAGTGCGCACTTTGCAAGTCTTCACTTGCCCCCAATGTCGAAAGACCTTCCCAAGCCGCAGCTTTCGTCCTAATTTGCAGCTGGCCAACATGGTTCAGATAATTCGAGAGATGTGTCCCGCTCCACCAGAAGAGCAGCAGAGCATCTGCTCCAAACACCAGGAAGCCATGAAACTCTTCTGTGAGGTGGATAAAAAGCCCATCTGTTTGGTGTGCCGAGAATCCAGGCAACACAAGTATCACAGCGTGGTGCCGTTGGATGAAGTGTTCCAGGAGTATGAGGACCAAAGGACCAGGAAACCTCGTGGTTCCAGTCATGCTCCAGCTTGGAAAAAAAGTTAATGCCACACATTTTTACTTTTGTACTCTTAAATCAGTTAGGGTTGGGGCTGTAGCACAGTGGCAGAGTGCTTGCAGCATCCCTCCCCCCAAACCCGCTTTGAGTTAATAACTGTTTCAGACCTCAGGTTTTAGGAAACATCAGTTCATTCTTTGTTGCTATTAACTGGGAATAATTTACTCGTGGAAGTGAAGAAAACTGCTTACCTTCAAAATAAGGCTTTCGAAACTATAACTGTGTTGTTTTCATGAACCTGGTATTTGACCACCAAAATTATTTTTGAATTTCTATTAACTATTTTGGGTAGAAATTTTCTGAGTCTCTGTTGATAGTATGCTGTAGTTTTTGGCAAAAGTTGAAGAAAAATGGTTTTGGGATCCATTGTGGCATCAACTTGCATTGATTATCTGCTGGGGGTCTTCTGCTTTGTTGTCATGGTAACAGGAAAAACTGTGCTTCATTCCATTTGGCTTTTGAAGATCTGTTGTCTGTTAGGGTTGAAGTTTCTTTTATGTCAAAGAGAACTGTTTTCAGCAGAGGTTATGGACAGAGGGACTCCCACATTGGAGCACCAGTGAAAAACTGAAACTGAAAAATTAAAACTTTCAGCAACTTTCCAACACTGGAGCTGACCCTGAAATGCACTGGCCTTGAGATGGCAATAGGCATATACCAATGTTACTCTGGTTGTGTTAAGTATTTGAAGCAAAACTTGCCAAAATATGACATAAGTAGGTATATATGAGCAAATTCATATGAAAGTGTCTAATTTTCTTGATCAGGAACCAAATTTAAGGACCAGCTTCATGAATATTGTACCTTTAAATAACTAAAGAAGAGTTTAAGTGCACTACAAAATGATGGGTTTTGGTGGGACATTTTCATACTTAGACATCATTGTACTTTGCTCATATTTGCTGCCCTGTTAACTCTGCTGGTCCCCCTGCTCAGCAAGTCTCTCTTTGCATGTAATCATATGTTGCTACATATAAAATTGTTAAACCATGATTCTACATGAAATAAAAATGTGTTTGTCCTTACCCGTTACATTTTCTTGTTCCCTCATCCTTCCCTTTATTCCCCCTTCTCCTATATAGTCCCCCTTCATTAATGTTGCTTTAGGAAACAAGTGAAATATTCAGAATTACTTCAGGTATTGTGTTGGGATATACTAAAACATGCCCATGGCAGTCTTGAGGAGAAATGGGTTTCACTGGAGAACTTCAAGAGGGCCTTGTAGAACTTAAGTGTTTTGACTAGACATTGCCAGAGAAACTTGTGTGTAAACTGTTGAAACAGATAAGACTGTATTCCATTTATTTTTCCATTTTCTTCTTATATCTAAAATGTTTCTTTGATGTTTTTTCCTTTGTTTTGTCTAACTGGGAGAAAACAGTAAAAGTGTTTTTGAAAATGGCATGTTTTACTGCATTTTATACACTACTCAAAGAAAAAAAAATTAAGTTTCACAGTGACATGGTTATATATGAATAAAGTTTTTTCTAAAGTTAAAGAGTTTGAAAATTTAAAGATTTCAAAGACTAAATGCTGAAATAAGTAGATTAGTAATTAGTAAATTATTAGTAAATGTTGAATACAAGATGAAAACAAAAATCTAGTGATGTCAGTGCCTCCAAATCAGTATGCTAGTAGAATAGTAAACATTATGTAAATTAGGATCAAAGAACTGCCTCCATTCCTCTAAAATGCAATTCTAAGTTTAACTAATGGGATATTTGTCAAATTAAACAAACAAAAAAAAAATACAAGGTTAGAAAAGTACTATTTTCCAAATAACCTTCCTCCTAATGAGAATGTTTCATTAATTCAAAATTTAATTTCTTTTTCCTTAAAAAGTTTACATAGCTTATGGATAAATAAATGAGTCCAGTTATAGTGCAGTAACTGTTTTGTCACACTGTGACACAATACCTGATGGGAACAACTTGAGGAAGGATTTATTTTGGTTTGTGATTTCAGAGGTTTGAGTCCATAGTCTTTGACTTGGTTAATGCTGGGTCTGGGTGAGGCAGAACATAATGTGGTGGGAGCACGTGGCAGACGGTTCACCTCTGGGCAGGAAGCAGAGAGAGGCCCTGTTCAAAATATAGTCCACAGTAATGTGCTCACCTCTAGAATGTTTTAGAATGTCCTAAAATGCATCATCAGCTGACAACCAAGTCTTTGTGTAGTACATAAATCTCATCCTACTCAAATCATAATATATAGAATAGAAAACAAAAGCATGGCAAAAAAATGCATGAAGAAAGGGAAAGTTGGTGAGATGTTCTGAAATCAAAAAATAAATAATGTAGGCTATTTATGTTTTTTTCCTCTCCTTTGAGCTATTTCCAGGTATTTTTGAAATCATAGTCTAAAGCACTACAAGTTTTCAGCAAGTGTTAGGAGATGAGATTCAAAAAAGTGTTCAAAGTCACGTTTACTGAGCAAAGATAGTATTTTGTTATAAGTATTGGGAAGTCACTGAAATATTTTTTTGGTAATAATCATAATTGAATTTGTCATTTAATAGAGGCTTTTGGTCACACCTTGAAAGGAGACTTGTGTGGCATTACCATGCCACATTACAGTTATAGCTAAATAAAACAGCCTGACTCTTTAGTTTTCAAGAGTGGCCCCAAATTCATTTGCCAAGATGTCTTTTCGAACTGTGCCATGGAACTGGGTCATGGAATTGTGCTCTGGAACTGTGTTCTTGAGTTAGACTCATGTGTAATACTATTCAAAACTTTCTCTAGCTTCAATTGGGAAAGTACAAAATTGGATCCACCCATATGAAACAGTCTTGCCTTTCCATCCCTAGGCCTAAAACAGCTCATACACACAATGTTAAGAAATACTTCTGCAGCACCTTTTTTTCAATGAAGATGCATGTACTGCCTTTCTGCACTTTGGTATGTTAATTCTCAAGCATACTCACATTTATTATCTTTAGGGAGGAGTAGCAAATTGAGGTTCCTAGTAAATAAGATCAGGTACTCAGGTCACAGGACCACATGGTTCAGTAAGTTTGATAAAGTTAATTAAAAGTCATTAGTCCAGATTCTGTCTATTTCATAAAAGTCATTCCTGTAGACCTGAAGAGAGTTGAGAATTTAGGCTGAGAGAAAAGTAAATAGAAATTGAAATAGCTTTGAGAAATACAGAGCCGTGAAATAAAACATTAATTCTATTCAGAGGTAAGTAAAAAGGAACTAAATAAAAACTTGGTTTTCAGTTTGCCCAAATGACAGGCTTCATTTCTGTTACCCAAATAAGAATAGAAAGAGACTAAAGCAGAGGCAAGATAGTGAATTTCGTTAGAGTGTATTAGGTATTTTAGCAATGTGCAGTAAAATAATTTACCTAAAACAAATACAAGGTGCGATCTAGTGAAAAATAGTTTATTCCTTTAAATTTAATATGACTTTACTTGAAAAAAATAGTGGAAATGTGTTACTAATATCAGTTGATCTCCACAGATCCATACATCTACTTTTTCCTGGAACAAGTATTATTTAAGCCTACTGTTTCTGGAATAGTGCCTTTGGCAATAGCTTGAAGAAGTCTGTAGATAGGAAAGCTTTTGCAGATGGAAATACTTCTTTCTCATTTTATTACCATTACTATTTTTCCCTTTTCTTGACCACAGATAGGAAGAATTTAATTAAAGGATGCCTTTAGTTTTAAGCTTTGTTTATAATAACTAGATTTATTTAGTTATCATAGACTAACAGATGTGCCTAAAAACCATCTTGTGTTTCCCAACATAATATTATTAACCTCTACTTTTTTCCCCCCTTTTTGGACTAAGGACTAGACAAGTGGAAACCAGACGATCTAGTTTAGAGAAGTGGAATTGCCAACTCTGACTTCAGCAGGGGTGGAAAAATTCCTTAGAGGAAAATGGGAATTGAATTTCAAGATAGTAGTTTCCATGTGTGAGTGGGTTTTGAATTCTCCAAGGGAGAAAAACAAATAATAGAAAAAGCTGCAAGAAAAATCATAAGATTTAGAATAAGTTTATTTTTAGGGAAACTATTTAAAACATGTATATGTAATAATTTATAGAGTCTTGTATTACTAAAAATAATTAACTTTTGTTGCAGACCTTAAAGTTTCTCATCAGAACTTTAAAAGGAGTTAACTGAACTGACAGATTTGATTGCTGAAAGTGGTCTGCCTCATTTTTTATTTCACTTTGACATAAGACTTGGCACAAATCTATTACAAGCAATGTTCATTTATTGCTGCACTTTTAAAGTTATAAATCTGGTTTACATCTATGGAAAATGTAGTGTAGAATTGAAGACATGTCCAATTATCTGGGCAATTTGTTTTATGAACTTATAGCAAATTAAATAGAAAGCATCGCCAGTATTTGTTCTTCCTCTGTGGGCTGCAAATCAGTTAGAAAAAAACCTGTTTTGAACAAGGGCATTGAAAGTTCTGGCTTTTGAGTCTGTTTCCTGAATAAGTTCTGATTAAAACAGGATCTGAAAGTCTGATTGATAGTCTCCATTTCCTTTTTTAATGCAACAAATACATTCAGAATATTGACTCGGAAAGGTACAATCGCTGAGCTGGACTGCATTGCCTTGAGCATTTCTTCATACTGGAGGAAATGATTTGGTCAAGACATAGGCAAAGCTCGCTTTCTCAGGAAATAGTTACTGAAAGGGATTTTGTACCTCTCTCATTTATGAAAAATGAAATAAAACTTCTGTCTGGGATGAACAAACAAGATTGTATAATATATATATATATATATATGCTTTTAGATGTTTAAAATAGAATGATTCATCTAATTATGCATACTATATAAAGGTCAATTGTTAAGAATTCTGTTGCTGGTAATAAAATGTGTGCTAGTCTAGGAAGATAAGGCTTGACAGATTGGAGGTAAGAGTGGGACGCTCTATTTCCTTCTGTGCTTCTCCATTTTGGGAAAGGAGTTGGGTAAAGGGAGAGAGGGAAGTGGGGGCAGGAGCAAGGAAGTTGA